AACACTGTAAATTACTGCAGTAACCTACACTGAATAATCATCAATTACAGAAGAAAATACACTAACCACAGAAGAACTATAAAAAGGTTTCATTCACCTAAGACCTTTCAGTGGTCCTTTTCATTTCTGGATGACTCCAAAGAAGTTAACTCCAATTAAAAGATCACCATAAAAGGCACAAGACAAATGAGTCAGGTGATAGCTACAACAGGTGGTCTGACTTTACATCTTAAATTCTTTCTCCAAAGCAAACAGCTAAATAGAATACCATTTCTCTTGTAAATTATATCCGTGGTAAATTCTTCAGAATGGTTTTCCATTGTGATCAGAGAATGCTCTCAATGGATGGATTTCATAGACTTCATTTCATCAAATTTGATGTTAAATTTTTTCAACCTTATAGTCCATTAACCACATTTATTGAAAATTGACTCTGTTTATTGCTTTCTAGGCATTGCATTGTTAATGCAAAGCTGTTTACTCAGGTGGATGAACCAGCTAAGAGGCTCTTCATGCAAAAACGACAGTCTGTGTAGTAGACATGGCAGGTGTCTATGGATGAAAATATTCTGGTCTTCCTAAAGACTAAAAGCCAGACTTTCCTTTCAAAGTCATGATCCACAAGAAAGGAGGATTTTAGGTTAATGGCTGGATGAATAGGTGGACAGATAGATACATAGACAGAAAGACAGAAAAAAAGATCCATGGCAGTCTTTGGCAATAGTGCAAGTTCTCTGGATCTCAGCTCTACTATCTACCCAACTGCCTGGAATGAGTCATTGAAATGACTTGCATAGTTGATGTAGTTGTACTGACATAATTTACAGTGTTTACCCATAGAAATCACTTTTATCAAAGCAGAAAGATAGGAAAATCATGTTTTTTTTTTTTAAATGGCATCAAGATGGGCCAGTGCAGACACGAGGTCATTTCTACATTTGCCTTCATGATAAACAGTTGAAGCTTGGTCTAAGTAGACAACCTGTTAACACCTCTTTATGCAGGCCTCTGTCTGTGTGCTTCACAGTGTTTGACAAGCTGCCATCCATGTTCCCAGTCATGAATGGGTATATATAAGGGAATGGGAGTGGTGTTTTAATAAAGGGACAAAGCTAAAGAATAGTCTAGATTCTTTGTCTCCAAGTGACATTATCAAAATTTGCTTTTATCTTCATTTGAGAGCTTTGCCTTCCATGCCTACCTGATATTATTCAGCACAGTTTGGGGCATGGAAAGTGAATGGTTAACAAGTCACAGACAGCAGTAAATCTGATTAACTCATGAGGACAGCTTGGGGACTTGATCATATCTGCGCAGATGAAGAGAATCAGAGAGGAACGATGGCAAAGTCTTTCCCCACTTGAATATTTTTCATTAAAATGGTTTTAAATCCACTCCCGACCGCACACATAGCCCAGAGCTTAAGAAACAGTATGTTATCAATAACTTTAGAAACCCCTGTATATCTCTCCTTTATAAAATCTCCAAACCTAACTCCCAAAGGTAATGACCATCTGATGTTTGTGTTTACAATTTAAAATTTTTTTTGACCTATATTTTTATTCTTAAATACTGCATTGCTTCATTTTACATTATTTGAATTTTATATATATTGTCTGTATGCTTGGTGATTTTTTTTTTCTCTCAAAATGAGGTTTCTGTGATTCATCTACAAGTGTGGCTATAGTTCACTTATTTTCAATGCCCCATAGGATTTCAGGGTGTAAAGAGCTCATGATGTACGCAGATGGGACGTCTGTGATCTTTTTACTTTTCATGTTATTGCAAACAGTGCTGCTGTAAACATTCTTTCACATATCTACCTATACATACATGTACATGCCTCCCTGGTCCACTCTAGGGGTAGAACAGCAGCTTTAGGATGAGTACTTGTTCAACGGAAGGAGTTATTTTCCAATTGCTATCCAAAGTGAGCATGTCCATTTATCTTTCCACCAATAAAGGATGCAAGTTACCAAATCTTATTTTGTCAACACTTGGTGCTCGGAAAAATATAGCCATTCAAAGGGAAAATGAATCCTGGCTAGTTGACCACAGACACTCACTCCAAATCATTTAATATTTCTAAGAACCAGATCTCCAGTTACAGTTACTTAAAATTAAGTAGCTCCATTCAGTGCCTAGAAGAAGACAAGACTTTTATCTATAACGTGGCAAACATAAGTTTAAAAAAATAATTGTGTTGATACCCACAAAGTATTCCTCCATTTTTCTGGTAAAGGAAATTCCCTATGATATCATGTCAAAACATTTGTGTCAAATGGCTGTGTTTTGCCAAAGAGATAAAGTTTTCAGTCAAAACAATTAATTAGAAGCTATTAACGACATCTTCCCCAAGATTTAAGAAGCCACTGAAAGAAAAAAGAGAAACTGAAAGAATAAAAGTATTCTCCAAACCAAGATTCAGGAGATAACCTAGTTTGTTGATCTCCAGTTGGGAATTCTGCTTTGAATTCCTTCCCTCTTCTGCAATCATTTCACCAACTCTAAATCACTCAAGTAATGGACCACAGGGAGGTTTCAGATTTATGAAGGGCTTATACCTCCAACACCATTCTTGCTTTTCCTTTTTATATATTTAGCCCTGTAATATTTTATTCTTATTACAAAAAAATACTTTGGGTGCTGAAAATTATCAGCACACTAATAATCCTAGTAGATCTATTTCTGGTTTAGTCAGCTATAGACCATCTGGTAATCGTTAGGTGAGAAAGTTCATTGATAAAAATGCTTAACTCCCTGAGTCATAAAGTATTTTAGAAAAAAAAATGCTCAGCATCTTTTAAACCACATATCTCTATCTATATCTCTCTCTCTTTCTATTTATCTTTCTACTAGAAGGTGGTGCCCAGATGTCAGCATGGGATTCATGATTTGTGTAGATTAGGGCTCATGAAACTCAGGCCAGACAAGCCAATATGTGCACAGAACAGTCAACATTCCAACAGTCAACATTCCATGATTCCATACCACAAACAACATCACAGACCCATAGCAGTTGCTCAGCAAATGAATGTTGACCATGCAAGGGTCAGGAGAAGCATGATCTCAGTGTTCCTCCTCATCATGTTTGGAAAAAAATTGAAAAGTCATACCCTATTGGTGGATGCTCCATGATGTCAACCTCCACGCCAGAAAGACTAGTAGATTAGATTTTGATCTACAAGGACCTCCCACTGAACAGTCAGGGAATGATTAAAAGGGAGGTGCCAGTCTGGGCAGCTGTTAATGCCACCTTCCGAGAATCGGCAGCAGCTTCCCCTGAGGCTTTTTAAATACTTTGCTAGAAAACACTCTTATCGCACCAGCACAGCCCCAGGCCAAAATATAGACTTCTAAACATTATTCACACTCAGCCAGAATCCAAGTAAACAATCAAGGATGTTGCATACATCAGTTTCTGCTTTGAGTTTCTTACCTTGTGTTGTTTTAAAAGCTGGTTGTGTGTTTCATTCTTCAACAAAAGCAAAGACTTCAATATGAAGGCACTGTAACTAAAGCTACTTTTTTTTTTTTTAACAAAAAAGCTATCTGTTCAAGAATATATGGGATATATATTTATTTTTTGTACTTCTCTATATTTTACAGATTTTTCCCAGATGATCACATTTCCTCCTGCTATTCCACCTGGCTCATCCCTTATTAATCCACTTTTGGGGCTCTAGTTCCTTTGGTATCTAGAATATTGTTGATTTTCAATTAAAAAAAAAACACTGATTTTTACATCAGAATCATATGTCCTTTATACTATTAAGTCCCATGTGATTACCTTTTTAGAGCCTTCTTGAAAATAGTCTTTCCATATGCTCACATAAACTGGGTAGGAACTGGGTAATTTAAAAATGGATTGCTATGAAATTTATAAATACTGCCATGGAGAAACATTTTTTAAGGGTATACACAGTTTTTATGCAAGATGTAAATACTGAGGACATCAAAGTGGAGAAAAAAGAAACATGGTAGGATGGTACCAATAGTTTTGAGAAATATGTGGCTCTTTGTCATAGCCCTGCAATAAGAAAGTAGTTTTTGTCATTAATCTTTGTACAAATATGACCTTTTTAGGCGACATAATACCAGATTCCTGTTAGCTATTGTTTTTACTTTATACCTCTTAGAGTAAACCATCTTTCAGTTTATTTGTTGGGTTAACCTCATAAATGGGCAAGCCCAATTCATAAGAACAGTTGAATGTCAAGGAAGAATTTAAACATAAGGCAAATATCCTATACACAGGAAACAGTCTATGTTTAAAGCAAGCAGTGGAGAAAGACCCCTTGCATTAAAGGTTTAGAGACATCCTCAAGGAAGGGCATGATGTGTATTAGCGATTTATCCTGCTTTTAAGCCCAATGCAATACATGGCATTGAATTACAAAGCTAATGGATAACAAAAGGAATTCTCAGCCAGAATCTATACTTTGTATTCCTTATTCCTCCCTAATCCAGTTCTACAGGTGTTAGCAAAGGGATCTTCCTCCACTACTAAGGAATTTGGCCACTTTCACAAGAGTGATAAAGAAGAAGAAATGCGGAGAGCTGGTGTCCTGAACAGCAGCTTGTCTCTACTTGCAGACCTCAGGAAGACTATCGCCTTGTGACTTCCTCAAGGATTATAACCTCCGGATGGACTGTTTCATGACTATTTATCATTCTGAAAACTCTGATCACAAGTGCCAAGTGGTCATGGTTACGAAACACCTGTTTCCGCACCATTCCTGATAAAAGCTTCTCTGCTATATCGCTGATAAATATTGACATTATGTTCCAAACATGGAATGGATTGAAATCTTGTCTCTCTCATACAAAGTAAGAAAAAAAAAAAAAACAGAATTAAACCTTGACATTTATCTGATTTATCTAAGAGCAAGGACTGCTGTAAGGGAGAACTTTCACCTTGATTTTTTTTTTTTAAACGGTTGTTTAAAAACAGAGCAAAAGAGGAAGGCCAATTAGAAAGACAGCAGATTTTCAATTACCTTGGAAACTCGGTTTGCAACTTCTCTGCCCACAGTTAGCCCCTGGACAAAAGTCCGGGCAGCAATGAAGGCGCGGGTGACCTGAATTTTCAGTTTCCGGGGTACATCTCCAAAGGGCTTCAGCTGGTCTGTGTATTTGCTCACACATTCCAGGTAGTCCTCGCTGAAGTGATACTGTGGGTTTATCAGCTGGAACATCCGTTCCAGGAGCCGAGCCCAGAAGTCATTGAGCATCTCCTCCAGATTTACATTGCCCCCGGTATAATATCTTTTCAGCTCCGTGAAAAGGTCCTGGAACACTTCTGAATTCTGCATGTACAGCATTCCGTAGGTCCGTACGAACATATCATTCAGTGACTTTTCTGCATTCTCCAGGAGCTCTCGGAAAAATTCTGCAAAGAAAACAAGAACGCGGTCATAAACTGGTTAAGATCTAGAATGCCCAATGCATCTACTTAACTTAGAAACAATGGTTTCTAAAGGTCCTTTTCATACAAAAATATATCCTGTGATTAAGGTATCAATGAACCGGTGATAATATTTTACATAAGTTTTGCCCTACATCTATGATCTTCCACAAGTCAAAGAAAACAAGACCACATGATTTCCACTTGAAAGAGCATTCGTTAACTTTAGGAGTATACCATTTACTACTCCTCCAAAGTAGCTGGGTTCTTCTTTCATTTATTGTTAAATTTTAGGAAATCTTAATTTGATACAAACTCAAATCAAAATATGTTGCAAAGTATTGTCATTAACATAATAACTAATGCATACTGATAAAAACTTTTGCTCCAGCCTGTTTACAAATCTGTTCTAACACTAAATTCAATTAAATTGCTGTTATTTGGAATAGTTCATAAACGGGATATTTAAATTAGTGCAATATTTTGGACTCTGTAGTTGCTATATATAGCAATCAATTATCAGTGTTAAGAGATTCATAATGCAATTAAATTCACTTAATACCAAAGCTCTAATGAACGTAATTTAGCTTGCCATAATGAATCAGAAAGTTATGAAGTATTTTGCATTATCATTATAAATATAAACCATCATTTTATAGAATTTGAATAAAATATAGGGCCTTCTGCCTAAGAAGTTCTAACTGAAAAAGAGTACACCAAGAACTCTCCTATCCTGCAGCAGAAATTGAATATTAGTGGACTCACTTATAGGATGCAAGAAATTGGAAATTAATGTCACTGGGTACTGTTAGCCTCTTTGGGCCTCATATGAGGACATACTTCAAGACATACTTCATGTATGTAAGGACACCTATCCATTTGCACAGATGAGCCTCAGGAGAGTAAGCCCAAGTCTTATCCCATTTGGAGAATGTAATTTGGGGTAGAGAAAAGGCTAAGAAGAGATAATGTGTCTGAGTTTATAAATCCAAGTTCCCAACATCAGAGGGATCCTTTTTTACCTCTCATAATTCTCTTTGTTCTCTGATACCATGTCCCCTCTCAGCTAATGCAAGGACAAAGCAAGTCCAGGACACCTCAAGGAATCCCAGTAGGAATACAAACAAAAACAAGCAAACAAACAAATAATATCTTTTTTTCTGGAACTCTGGGGGGTTTGCTCCTGAGACATAGAAGGAAAGAAGACATGAATCTCTCTACAGACTCCTTGGAAGCCACACCTCACTTTTGCTTTATCAGAAGACCTTGATTTAGCCACTTCAATTCTGAATAATATAACATTGAACCACTGTTGCGATCATTAGATGGTGCCTGTACAATAATAAGGATTATTTTATAGTTGTTTTTAAGTGAAACAAACCAAAGCATCAAACCTTAAAAAGGACTCTATTCACATGTTTACCTTTTTACTATGAAAGAATATACTTTCCTAAATACAGGAATTCTGTTGCTATAGTGGCAGTAAAAAGTGAGGGATTTCCTAAGTCATGGTTTATAAACCCTGTGTGATCTTGTACAAGCGACAAAATATTTCTTATCTTAAATTTTCTCAAATGTAAAATCAGGATAAATGTTATTAAATCTCCCTAATCTTCAAGGATTCAGTAAGCAAAATCAGCATTGATGCAAATAGAGTAAATTTTTCAAAGTTTTCAAAGGATCAATTAATCAAAATATTTCTGTATGCGTGATGTCTATGTTATATAGGATTTTATGCAATCAAGAACATTTCAGAATTTTTCAGAAATATTAGTTACCTAGTCTGTCCTAAAATGGAAATGATATTAAATGATCAATATTAATACTAAAGTATAAAAATGCCATATTAAAATCTTTCATTCTTGAAACCAAGAATGGAAATAGCTTGGCCTTGTTCATACAGGAGCAGGGTGAAAGGTGTTATAGATTGTGAACGAAACTAAAAAAGAATGGAAAAATCACTGAATTGAAAAATACTAATATAATGAGACTGGAAAGTGGATTCTAATCATGAGCTCAGGACAGCCTATTCATTTATCTTCTTTTTGAGGTCAATTATTTTGTTGGACTCAGGAATTAAAGCTTAATTTATTGAATACAGAGTACTGCCTTCAGCAATGAATAGTTAGTAATCAATAGTGTGGTCTGGATTTTCAAAGAGCTTAAAAAAAAAGTAAAAAAAAAAATCTTCTCATTCTCATTGCTCTGCAAAGACTGGGGGTATAAATGCTTCTCTATGAGGATGAAATTTTTATTTTTTTATTTTTTGCTTTTACTGAAAGTAACATTCCTTAGGCTCTTCCCCTCCTGATACAGGGAACATGAAATATTAGACTTATGCCTGCTTTGAGGCTGAAGGGTTAAAAACAAACTGCTCACTTATTGTGCCTTGTGGTTTGCTTCTGTATGCCTAAATTAGTATTCGGAATTGAATAATGAAACCAAGTTCTCATCTTTCAATAAATAGGGCTCAAGAAACTTTTCATTAGATTCTAAGCTTAAATTCTGTCTAAGGGTATGTCATTGTCTCCAAAGTTTGCTATTAGCTTCACTGGTCCTCAAAAGTCAAGTTATTATTCCTTGTTCAAAATCATTATATGGTTTAGTGATCTCACAGTCAAAGTTAATATTTGGTATTGAAAGATGTTAATGTATCAGGCAATTATGACAAATGTTGCTACCTTAAGGTACATTGATCTTAGATCTTATGAAAGATGGGGATCCAAGGTACTGAGGCAAAACTAATGTCCTCCGAAAATAAGTACTCTCGTTTCATTTTTAGTCTGCTCACAGACTTAGAATTCCACCTTTTGAAGGTTGACTCTTTGAACAAAGTATTTTATGCTTGGATGAAAATTGTTCCTCAGCAAACCAAACAAGATAGAGATTTGGAAGACAGTTATTGGACCCACTTTGCTGATGAAGTATTATGCCCACACAGCACAGAGAATGAAATTGAAGAGCAATGTAGGGAAAAAATGATCTCAATCCAGGCTTCGTTTAATCGGCGAGGACAAACCTCACATTGGGTAAAGCCTTGAGTCAACAAAAATTTTCATCTGCAAGAAACAGTTTGGTAGAAAAAATGTTTTTGATCTTTTTCTCTTCCCCATTCACGAAAGATACATCAAAGGTTGTTGCTTAGGGCTCTGTTATGCTTCTTAGATGCACAGAAGCACTTTTTCCAGCCAGCATTAGCCTCTGGAAGGATTTTATTCATGTAGAGGGGAGATCTGGATGCAGACAGCTGTTAGCTGCAGGGGAGATTGCTTCAAGTGGGGGAACAATCTTGTAGATAAAAACCACCACTGTTCCAAAGGCAAAAAAAGAAGTCTGCACGCTGCCTGATCGCTTGGAGAAGACTCTGAAGGGGCAAAACTCAACTCCAAGGAGCCAAAAGTTGCCCTGAGGATATCCGAGAAAGGCTTCAAATGAAGCCACCAAATGAATGGATCAAAATGTAAGGTGCACACAGGGCCGAAGGGAGGTGCCAGCAAGAGGGGAAAGGCAGACAAGAGGCTCTTGAGGAATCTGCAGTCCACGGAAACGGCAAAAGTTTTGCCGAATCAATCTGGAGATGTCTTGTTAATGCCACCACAGGCGGACTGTGCGTGAAGATTGGATTAAGTGCTGTACGACATTTACCTAGAAATTGTAGCATTTTCCTACTCTCCTGCTTTCCAAAACACTTCTCATTGAAAGCTTGTTTGAAATGAGTGCTCAAGATGGTGGTGTAAATTCGTGTGATCACAAAACCCAATGACTGTAGAGGCTTTGGTCTCCAGTCAGTGGAGATGATATTTCTATACTTGGTAACCAATAGCACCTGTCCTGCCATGGGAAGCGGGTATCCTAAGTTTGCTTCATTAAACCCACATATTCATGTTGAGTGTATTTCTCTCCTAATCTCTTCTTTTCTCCCCTCTCCTCCACAAAAGCACGTTAAATCGGTTCAGTCAGCCCAGTGTCCAAGGTCTGGTTAAGGAAAGACCCAGAGGAGCTGTCCTGGAGGGTAAAATGGTTGGGAAAGCTGATGTCCAGTAAGGGTTATGATTCACAGACACAATAAAGCTACGATCCTGCCCCCTCCTCTCCCGCCCCATGCCTTTTTCAAGGACAAGTCAATAGTGGTGTCTTTCTTCATTCTGCATACACCTGTCAGTGTTCAGGCACATCTTATGAGATGATTTCTCCTTTCTTACTCCTTGCTTACATAATAACCGGACAGGACCACCAGGAAAATGCTGAGTTAATGAGGAGCATTCATGGAAGAAGAACCATAGCGCCATTTACTCTCTTCTATGTTAGATTTTGAGGGTGAGAATACATGGTCCCTGAATGGCATATCTCTTCCAACTCTCCGGAGGTGAGACCCTATGAGAAGAGGTAAACACTGGGGTTGCTCAGAGAGTCCTTGCCACATGAAGTGTCACCATTGGCACACTGTAGCTTCCATGGCAAGGACAATTGGATGTGGTCCTCTATATCGGGGGGTCTCGACCTCAGCATTGTTGACCTCTATCTACTCACTGCCAACAGCACATCCTTTCCCCGGTACTGACAACCAAACACATCTCCAGACATTACCAAACGTCCCTTGGGGAGACAAAAATCACTCTTAATCCACCCCGGAGAGTTACCTTCCTACTGATAAATTCCAGAGGTCTAAAAATAGGATATGAAAACATTCAGAGAAAAGACCAGAACATTTAGAGAAATAGCCCCACAATTTATTTTCGAGATAAATTCGAGGATCTGTGCTCTCAGTGAAAGCAGCTGAAATACACATTATACTCATGGGTTAGATTGTTGGTGGCCAATATTACCAATTCCATGTCTGGTGCCCATTATATGGCAGGGCTTTAGAAAGTGGTGACTAGTGAGTGAATAAACAGATGGAGGAACATGAGCGTCCAGTGAAATGCACCTTGATTCTATCTGATCTGGGCTCTTAGATAATGATATAACTTCATGGGCCCACCTTA